TGACAAGGACATCGCCTGGTTCAATGCTTAGTTTACTATGCTTGCCAGCTACTTTCAAAAGCCACCTCCACCACTTCCATCTGATGATCAGGGTTCCTCATTTTTCTAGTCTGTGTTTTCTGCTGTCTGTTTTCTGTTTCTGTAGTTTGTCTTGTAGTTTGTTTTAGTTTCTATTATGTTGTTTTCTTTTTTTTTCTTTTGTGTGTTTAGGACCCTCTTTTTGTGATGACAAAAGGGGGAGTAGGTTGTGGAAGGAAAAGTTGATTTGCTTATAATTTTTGAAATTTTAATAAACTGCTATTTTTTTCTGAGTTTTTCCTACTCGTGTTTGCCATCATCAAAAAGGGGGAAATTATTGCAAATCTATTTTCATGACTTATGTTTTGATGATTGAAAAACACTATTTATTCTCTTGGACTGCATGTTGCTTCTAACTTTTTAGGAATCAAAGATCGGACGAACAAACGAAGCTAGTTCAAGATCGTGTAGGTTTAGGGTTGAGTCAGTCTGCACTTTGTTTTTTCTCTTCTTGAGTCTATTTGTAATGGTCAAAGAGATTGATGCTAAGTAACCCTACACACACACACTTGAGAGGATTAGAATTTCTATTTTTATTCATATCGGCCAGGACGATATTTACATCGTCCTGGACGATCAGGCTTAAAATAGAAAGTCTAAATATGGATTCTTAATTAAGGCAACCGACATTAATAGATCGGCTTAGACGATACGTGTATCGGCCAAGACAATAAGCTCAAAATAGAAAAAAGTTGCCGCCATAGACAATTAAGGTATACTGTATTTTTAAATAATCGGCCAGGACGATCATTGATCGTCGTGGACGATATTCATAAATTATGCCTTAATTGACCAGAAAATCAAGGGAGTAATTAAGGATGATTGATACGATCATATCATCCTGGACGATCGTAGGATCGGCCAGGACGATCTATTCAAAAACCTTAGTTACTTCAGGATGATAAATATCGGCCAGCTCGTATTCAGGGCAATGCTCTGGACGATTTTCCTCTGATTTGAACTGATCGGCCTGGATGATCAAGCCAACTTTAAATCGTCCAAGTTTGCATTCAGGGCGATGCTCTGGACGATCTTCTGAGTTTTGTATTGATCGACCAGGCCGATGTCCATATCGGCCTGGATGGTATTGTCGGCAACTTGCAATTAATGAGCTCCTTTGAAGCTCTTCTATTTAAGAGCTCTTGTTCAACATTTTGAACAACCTTTTGGCTGCTGCCTTGAACTGAGAAGGCTTTGAGGAGAGAAAGAGAGAGAGGAAGAGAGAGAGGATCTTGTGAGGTGGAGCTTGTGAGGGGATTCACAAGGGTTGCTTCAAGGATCGCTCTGCTTCTTCTTTGTCTAGAGTTTCTCATTCATGGAAGGGTCGGTAGAGGTAAGGAGTCAGCAACTGGTTGTGGCTCTCTGCCAGCTTCAGGAGGAAGCAAAAGGAGATAGGTTCTCTGCCTTGCCGGGTGACAAAAAGAGGTTCTTTGTGAGGGCTTCTCCGCCTAGCCGTGGGGGCTAAACGAGAGTCACGTTTGTAGTGCAATACTTGGAGGGTACCTCCAAGGAGTGGACATAGGTCAAGATTGACCGAACCACTATAAATCTCTGTGTTATTGTTTTCTTGCTTTCGCACTTTAATTTCCGCATTGTTTATTTTTCTCGTGGTGGATTTTGGTTTATGTTATTTTTGTTCTTCATGAAAAGAATGTTTAAAAAGACCAATTCACCCCCCCCCCCCCCCAATTCCCCCCCCCCCCCCCCCTTTTGGTTAGCTTGGGACTAAGTTCATAGGGCTTAACATCCCTAACGAACTTTCAGGAAAGTCCAAGGGATGATTTAATGGACTTAATGCTTTGGCAAAGTAACCTCTTACTATTTTTGTTCCATGTAAATGCTCTACTTACAACACTTTTTGCTCTGGGTAATCAAGCAGCTAAATTGGACCTTAAATTATTCCATTTTCTTACATGGTAGGACAAGATATTTATCAACATAATGAAAATAAGTCTTGCAATTATTATTTGCTCTCTTCTAAACCATTAATTAAATTACCATTAACGAATTCAAGAAGCTTTTTAAGTTATTGTCAATGAGCATGTTTGATTTCACAGGATACTTTGAACTAAAATTTTCTTCGAATTCAAGTAGCTTAGAGATACAAGCATGATTCAAACATTGAAAATGCAATATTATTTTTAAGTAGAATTAGAAATTTCCCACAAAAAAGGAAAAGTCTCAAACATTACTATGAAAAAAACTGGTTCAATAAGCACTTTAACAATACTTTTTTCATGAATTCTGATAAGTCGATATAAATGTAAGTTGTGTCATTGCAGACAAAATCAATAAAGACCGCAAAGTTTAAGATTGGCCTAATCAATGACTATGTGATGTTATATGTTGATATGAATTCTCTATTTATAATTTTCCAATGTTCTTCCACCATTTTGTTAATCTTCTTGTAGGCTTCCATCTCAGAGCAACCATGCTCTTTAACATAGCATTGAACTATGAAACAACATGAATCCTTTTTTGTTTATTCTTAAGAAATTAAAATGAGAATATTGTTGAGTGCAATATGTGATCAAAATGAATGTCTAGTGGATTCTTTAGAAAAATGATAAAATAAACATTTAATATAGGGAAAAAGCTCATTTGGAATATCATATTTAAATTACATAATTTTTTTAATATAATTAGTATTTCTTATATCATCTGGTTTTACCCAATCGAACCATCAAACCATTAACCTTTAATTATTCCTATTTGTTGACCAATTCAAATTTCACAACCTTCCTAAAAATATTCTAGGATGCTTCTACAAACCTTATTGAACTCTACCTAATTTCTTATACCAGCTTAGATTCCCTGGCTTGGCTTCATAGGTCAAAGATAAAAATTATATATGGCTTCATAGGTCAAAGATAAAAATTATATATGGCTTCATAGGTCAAAAATAAATTTATTAGGTTTTCGTTAAGTTAATGATTTTCCAATAACATGTATTTTCATCCTACAAATAGTCAAAGCATTGAACAACAAAGCTCTTTCATTAATAGAGTTTGCAAAGTCTAATTTTAAAGAAAATAAAAGAATGATCTCCATTGTGTATTGTCGTTTTAGTTTTCATTCGATCATATGGAGAAGGCTCAAAACTGATGCTCTTACCCAAAATTGAAAGGAGCATGTTCTCCTGTGAAGAAGAGTTGTGAGGAATTTTATGCCTTCAAAGTAGAGAATGAGTTTATTGAGTAAAATGAAGAATTATAAATTGTGAATGTATGGGATTATGGATCAAACCACTTATAATTATTAATATTTATAATATAAATAGTGAATGTAAGTTATTATCAATATTCCAATTTAGTTAAAATTATTATAGAGATTGAGTTTTTCCCACTTTATTTAAGATGTGGGGACTAGCATGTCCATAACATAGATTTTGAAAAATGTGCCTCGAGAAAATTAACATAAATAATTTCCATGTTTAACAATATCATTTTGATTTTTCTTCTATTTAAGATAATGATTGTGGCTATGTGAACTCAATGCAATTCTCATTTCATCGCGGCTAAGTCTACATTTCTAGATCAATTTTGCATTTTAACTATAGTTTATCCTCGTTTAGTTTGTTCGTACTAAAGAGTTCAAATTTGAATACTCCAATCCGGTTCTCTTACTCAATATTCGATGTAACTACACACTCCTACTAATATTAGTTCGGGATTGGGCTCATCCCCTCAGCCCTTGCCAACTGGTATAGTGATTATCATCTACTTTCTTCTTTTACTTCTATAAACCCGCCTTCCAGCCAAATTGTTCCCTAATGGAATGCCATCTTTATGAATTTAGGAGGTTATGGAGTAATTCCTTATGAAAGTACATATCCATTTCTTATGTTTTTTATTTGTTTTAACTTAACCTCTTAAGTGGTCATGTACATGTATATTATGGTTGGCATTGATCTTGATGTTGTTGATGGAATTTTCTTAAATTATCAAGTTCAATATCCCATAGTTAAGTACAAAAATATCAAGTGATTGATCTGTATCCATAGGCTTAATATTTTGTAATGAAAATTGTTTGAACCAAAAGTATATTTAACTGAATGCCTATCTTCTTTAAATAAAATTTTTAATAAGTAATATCAAGCAGATCAATTTGAAAGAGAAAATGACTCCTACAAACCTTCAAGTGGTTCAGTGAACTATTGGTGGAAGTTAATTTTCTGAGCTTTTTCTTAATATTTCAGGGAGGATGAAGACCAATGTAGATTTGTGCTTGGTCTCATATGAATAGGAGGTTAATCAGAATTATGAGGCTTTAGGTATAACCTATTATTAAATATTAGAAACTATATTAGTGTAAAAATAACAATTGCTACCCGTAAGCCTATGCTTTGGAGATGAACATGGGATTAATAATTAGTGTATTAGAACCAAGATCTATCAAATTTTTGTTCAATCCTCAACAACACAATATTCTTGAACTTTTCATCAGTTCTTAAAACATTTTAAAGTTATTTTATGATAAATCATCATTCTAGGTTTGCACTACCAATTTAAACAAAATGTTTCTAACAAATAGTTGTCTTAATGGATGAAAATGAAGCACACTTGTGAACAGATCATTATCACCCATGTCAACTTTATGAACTTTGCAATGTAATTAGTTGTTTTTCCATTTCAAAGTAATGAGCAAGTTCAACTAAAGATTTAATGGTCATAATGCTTAGGCAATGTAACCACTTATTATTTTTTGTTCAATGTAAATGTTCTATATAGAACACTTTTTTATTTGGGCATTCGAATAACTAATTAGGATTATCAATTATTTAAAATTCTTACATGGAAGCACAAACTAAAAAAAATCAACAAAATGAAAAAAAAAAAACAATTAATTAAAATAAGCTACTAAGAAAATTTTATCCCAGTGTATACATATTCTTTGATAATAACTTAAAATCTTATTGGATTTGATAATCATAATTTAAAAGGTTCACACAAACAAGCATTTTGATAGCTTAGAGATACAAGCATGATTCGAACATTACAAATGCAATATTATTCATACATAGATTTGAAAATTCCCCACAAAATAGGAAAAATCTCAATCTTTACTAAGAACACAAACTGGTTCAATGAGCACTTTAGCAATAGTTTCTTTCATGAATTCTGATGAGTCGGTATAAATATCAGCTGTGTCCTTGTAGACAAAATCAGTAAAGTATGTCAAGTTTAAAACTGGCTTAATCAATGATAATGGGATGTAATCCGTTGCCATGAGTTCTCTATTTATAATTTTCCAATGCTCTTCCACCATTTCTTTAAGCTTCTTGCATGCTTCCATCTCAGAGCAACCATGCTCTTTGCAATAACATTGAATTGAAGAAGCAACATGATTCCTTTTTTGTTCATTCTGAAAGTTCACTTAAAATGAGAATACTAATGAGTGCATTATATTGTGTGTGTGTGTGTGTGTGTGTGTGTGTGTGTGTGTGTGTGTGTGTGTGTGTGTGTGTGTGTGTGTGTGTGTGTGTGTGTGTGTGTGTGTGTGTGTGTGTGTGTGTGTGTGTGTGTGTGTGTGTGTGTGTGTGTGTGTTTAATCTATAATAGTAATATTTAACTATGATAATCTTGATTAATGCTATAAAATATGAAATACATTTTGATTTAAGTACTCGGAATATAACTTGTTGAAGTATTATAATTAGTTGAATTTAAGATAAAAAATATATAGTTTCAAATAGCTAGACAAATATTTTAGTTTTTCTAAGTAATGCTTTCTATCTTGTAAAATTATGATCTACGGCACTTTTAAATTTTTTTCTTCAAAAACTAATGGTGACCTCTCCTCTTTATATATATATAAACTAAATTTAGTTTAAGATTTCATGTTCTTATTTATTTCCTAAAATGCCACATAGTTCAAAAACTTATTTTAGAAGTTCATTGTATTTCTTTATTTTATGCTACAAATGAAATTATCTTTTTTTTAATATAATGTCTAACTATAACAAATAAAATATGTCCTTAATATCAAGTGTGTATAACTTACCTGATATGAACCAATATCATTCATAAGCCTCCCAACTATGTTCATAGATTTGAGTATTTTAGGACGGCTGGCAACCCATTCATAAGTATCCTTTGAGATCACTTCCTTCATTCCAAGATATGAAGCACAAGTGATTAATGAGTACCCAGCTGTAATCAGTGATACTCTCATATGTTCCTCAAGCTTAGGAACATAGCCAACGCTTGCCCATTTTGATTCCTGAAGGTACGCATGAGCCATTCGCTTGAACTGAAATTAAAAGGAACAATCAAAACAAAAGTAATATGATAACAATGTATTTCATTGTATAATGAAATACTAGAAGTTTATTTGTTGGTTAAAGTCATCTTTTGAGTACAACAACATCAAGCCTTTATCCATTACGTGGTGTCAGCAACATGAATCCTTTTTCTCTTTTGTGTCTTGTTTAGAGTAAAATTCTAGTTTAAATTTAGTAAAGAAAGATCATTTCTAATATTTTTTAATCAAATCATTTTAGTTCAACTTCTGCCTTTCTTAACACAATCCGAATCTAATACATCTAATCTCCTAACCAGGTTAGGGGAAGGCCATCATTTTATGATAAATACAAACTATCAATCATAATTTTAAAAATGCAAGAAAAGGTTTCCAATTCTAACTCTTTCTAAATTTACTACCTCAGATATAAGGTAATGGACTCGAAAAGAATTATGTTGGGGAGCTAGCTCATCCTCAATTTCCTTGAAAGTATTGTAAAGTGCAAGAAAGAACCGTTGCATATATTCTGGCAACATACTAACTTTATCAAGATCCCACCTGTAAATTAAAATTTTAGCATAAAAAAGTACTGAATTAGTTTATATATTATAATGTTAATTTATTTTACCTTTCTATTACGTCGGTGAATAATTCAAGTTCTTCCAATGTCCCATAAACATCATAAATATCATCAGTTGCTACAACGAGGGGCATCACCTTTGCATTGATCACTCTAGCACGTGAATAGTAGGGTTCAGAGTAAGTTGAAAGCATCCAAAAGTAAGATTCTACTATTCGATCACGTAGAAATGGTAAGTGTTTGGAGAAGCCTAACCCTTTCCACCACCTGAATCCACATGAATGAGAAATTTTGTTGGATATCAATTACAACTATCTTAATTAAAAATAAATGCTAAAAAAATAAAGATAAACTTACTCTGATATGATTCGAACCTCTTCTTGATGAATAGATTGCAATATATTGAAATCAAATTTAGCAAAATCAAGTAGCTTTTGATTGCACAATCTGTATTTGTCATATATTTCTATAAAATTTCTAGCTTTGAGCCGGTCAATTCTTCTCACCAATGGTATTTCTAAAGCGTTTCTCACCATCAAAACTAAAGATGGATCCATCTTGCATATTAATAACTCTAAGTGAACCCTTGAGAAAGTTTTAGCTTTCTCTAGTATATCTTCATTAGGAAATCCAAGATAAGCAGCATCATATAAGCTTAATAAAGCTTTCACATTATTGCTTAAACAATCCTGGAAATCTCCATTATCCTCCAAAAACCTATTGAATACATCTGCAAGATTTTCAAAGATAAATGATTTGTATTTACTTTATTCATAGCTTTTGGCTTTATGATTTTATAATCATACATACCGGAAGTTATGTGATATCTTTCTTGTCTTAATAATCGAAAATGAAGTGCAGTTGCATATAGATCATCTTCATCAATGTTGATCGAATGAACTCTACGTAATATGTCATTGATTTCCTTTTGAAAATGATATGCTACTCCAAGACGTTGAATTGAGTCAATGAGTTCAAGTGATTGTAATGGATCAATGGCATCGGTGAGAATTTTCCTTATCTCAATTTGGAGCCCTTCATTCCTTTGTTTTTGTTCTTCCTGTATTTAATAATAATTACAGAAGTTATTTAGTTATAAGAAGTAGGGAGGATCAAAATAACATCAACAAAAAATATTTATAAATTACTTAATTTATTTTCAATGCAATTTAAAAAAGATTTTGACTCATGACAACAAATTTATAATAGCTGTAAATGACTTTTGATGATGAGAATAATATATCCTTCTTTTAAGAGGATAAATATTAATAATTACCAGACTCATATTTGATTGAAATGGTGAATAGTTGACGAAATAATCTCCCCAAACAGATGGGTGGAAATCTGCAGATTGGCGAGCATTTTTCATAGATAGAGGAAGAGCCTCCATTAAAGTCTCTCTAGTTAGAAAGGAAGAGATGCTTATAGAAGATTTTGATGGCTAAATGCACTGATAGTGCTCACAATTTATAATAGCATGAGATCAAGTGATGATCAATTATTATTATTTTTATTTATTATTTTATCTTTTATATTGCAATTTCAAATAAAATAAATGAGTTATTTTAAAAATATTTTTTTATTTTTATTGTGGTGGTAAGTGCCAGTCATGGTTAGTGGCTAAGATCACCTATAGTAGAAAACAATGATGGTGCCAATTGAGAGTAGTGATTAAATTCTAGCTCAAAAATAAAATTAAAAAAAAAAATTTTGAAGATATTTCCATTAGACGTTAAACTAATCGAAGTAGTTATGGGTCAATTTTTGCTTTGGATTTAATTCATTTATTATTATTATTATTATTAGCCAAAAAAGATTTCCTGTGGGCTTTTAGTAACTAATGCTAATCAATCAGAAACATTAATTTGGAGCAATAAATTTTATAGGTAGAAAAACATATAAATTTTGATATATCAAAATTAAGTCATTATAGGTAGAACCCTCCTATATGGATCTTGTTGATGCCTTTTGCATTGTAACCTAGGAGAGATTATTCTGTGCGAACACCGGACAGGAAGAACCGTCCTGTTTTGTCTCTGTGAATGGTAAAAACGAGCATGAACAGTAACAGTGCAGTTAACTACACTTTTTTTATGTTTTTTTAAAAAAAATAATACTAAAATATTGCTTTAAAAAAATAATAAAAAAATTATCCCAAATAAAACCTTAGTGTGTGATCTGGTTCTTAGTAATGGAGTTCAAAATCATTTTCAACCAACTACATCTCTCACTTATAAAAACTATATACTTTATTCATGGAATCTTACGTAACAATTTTAATAAATAATAAAAAAAATGTATATTTTTATTACAATTAATTAGAGTGAATTTTTTATTACAAAATATTTAATATATTTGCTAAAATTTGACAATTAAAAACAAAATGTTAAAACTTTCACATACAATGAATTGCATGATTTAAGCGATGAATAAAATATATATTTATTCAACACCACATACAATGAATACTTAATAGTAAGTGCTTAATAATAATAAAAATGTTTTTAGCGTTGAAGCTATGTGGAAGAAAACCCACTAATTCAATTCAAATCAAAGTTGGACTCCGTAACGTTTTCCATGAAAAAAAGAGAAAAAAAACAGCGAAGCTAATCAAAACAAATAGTTTAAAAAATACAATATATTAAAAATGCACTAAAAATCATTTGAAATTGAACAAAAAAAAGATAAATATTTACAAATTAATCAGAATTAAAAATGGTTTTAAAAAAGTAATAGTTTAAATTATGCGGATGGGAGAAATTTTTATCATTTATTTTTAAATAATCAAAATTAAAGTTATAAAATTCTCAACTATACCGGTGAACCACAGTGGCTCTATGGCTTCTCATTATTAACTTTCTCCAAAAGATAATGACATGGAGGAGAACAAACTGAGTATGAAAGTTTATATATAAAAGAATTGTATTAAATTTATAAATTAAATATTATAATATTTATGACTAAAAATCATAAATTTTTAAATATAAATTTATATAAATCCTCTAATATCTTATAATTTTGAATTCTAAAACTTATGAAAATAGTCAAAAAGTATTATAACGCTACAGGAAAATCCGTTGTTACCGGCGCTTCTTCCGACGGAACTGAGCGAATTTCCAACGGTAATGACGTTTTCCGATGGCTTTCTGACAGTTTTTTTTTCACCGGTATATATCGCGTAGGAAACTAAAACCGACAGTTTATTTCAAGCGGCGAATATTTCAGGCAGTTTTCAGGCAACCATAGCCACGGGAAATTTAAAAAAACTTATTGAAAAAATGATGCCACCCGGCTGCCCGCCCACACTATCTGCTGCCTCCAATACCTTATAATGCCATCTTTCAACCAACTTATGTTCATATGAAACGTCCATTTTAGGTTATGAACTAATACTTCTGCTTCAAGTGGCCTTCATAACGTTAATTTATCATACTTTCATTGGCTTCATGTATTTCCATCTCTATCTATCAAGGAATATTTATTGATAAGATAAAAATATTATTTTATTTTCCTATGATTATGTTATTTTGATATTATAATCCTTGTGTTTTGTGCATGAAATTATAAGAAAATAAAAAGAAATTGGATCAATTACATATCTCCAAAACTCAATTCAGCACCACAACACCAAACCTTCAATGTCGCAGGAGAGAGCTTACCAATTATTGCTGGAGAGCTTAGTGCCGAGGAGCTATCTAGTAAGTGCCTCAGAGCTAGAGCAAAATCGAAGTGCCTCAGCACCAAACCGGCCATCACCACTAGGGGTGTCAATTTAGGGTTACGATAATAGGGAACCAACACAATGAAAGTCAGTTGAACTAGTGAACCAAAACAGATAATAGGGAACCAACACACTAGTTCAATAGCATCATAGTGCCACCAAGCCAATTCTGTAGCGCTAGTTCAACCTTATTCCTTGTGTAGAGAGGTTGGCAACTTGGAGGATTCATGTGTAGTGTCATTTTCTGAGTACGTGTGAGTGTGTGAGAGTTGTATAGGGGAGTGTGCATCTTATGTTTCATTGTTTCTTGTACCTGAGTGTTGTATTGGAGTGGAGCAAAACAAAGGAGTGAGCAAAGGATTGTATTAATACTTCTAGTTCATTTTTTAACTTTACTTTCTATTATATATATATA